ACACAGGTGATGGGACAAGATGTCAATGAGCTACCCTATATAAACATCGCAGACTACGTGCTGGAGGCAGTTCACGAGTTTGTGTACCTGGCCTCCACAATCTCAGACACCCTTTCCCTGGACACTGAACTCAACAGGCGTATCGGGAAGGCCTCAACAACACTGGCCAGGCTCACAAAGCGCGTTTGGAAAAATGCCAAACTGACAGTGCACACCAAGGCACAAGTCTACATGGCATGTGTGGTGAGTACACTTCTCTACGGGACGGAATCCTGGACCCTGCGCTCTCGCCAGGAGAGACGGCTTAATACCTTTCACATGGGGAACCTGAGACGCATCCTTGACATCACGTGGAAAGACCACGTCACCAACAACACTGTACTCGAGAGAACAGGAGTCACTTCAATGTTCACTCTCCTGAAGCAGAGACGCATACTGAGATGACCCTCCTGAAGCAGAGACGCATACTGAGATGGCCCTCCTGAAGCAGGGCCATCTCCTGGAAGATGGCCGCATACCGAAGGACCTCTTGTATGGAAAAGTGACATCAGGAAGGAGACCCACCGGAAGACCTCAGCTGCGTTTCAAAGATGCCTGCAAACGCGACCTCAAGCAGCTGAACATCGACATGTGCACTTGGGAGACAGCAGCTGCGGACAGATCTGCCTGGAGATGTAAAGTGCAGAAGGGACTCCAGCAATTCGAGGATGAACTGAAGAGGCAGGCGGAGGGAAATAGACTTCAGAGGAAGTCTCGACCACTGTCAGACGCGTTTATCTGCTCTCGCTGCAGTCGGGTCTGTCATTCTCGGGTTGGCCTTCACAGCCACAGTAGAAGTTGCATCCAACTACACTACAATAACTAGACACCCAGGACAAAACTCCATATATATATATATATATATATATATATATATATATATATATATTTATATATATAACTGAAAACTCACACCCCAGAAGTGACTCGAACCCATACTCCCAGATGCCACGCAACTGGTATGTACAAGACGCCTTAATCCACTTGACCATCACGACCGCAGTTGCATATTGTCCTGGGGACCATTCAGGCTTGTTCGCATATATATATATATATATATATATATATATATATATATATATATATATATATATATATATATATATATATATATATATATATATATATATATATATGGGTCAACAGTAACTAGCCAATGGCGCCCCATGATACCTGAGGGGCTTCAATAATGTGGTTTATGGCTTCGTGAGTCTCCAGTGACACACCGGGTGCGGTGGCGTCCACACAGCCACACGTCTCTCCGCTTAAATTCAGGATGTCGCTAAAATATATATTCCCCAGAAGTGATCAGACTATCCCGAGGTATATTAGTGTCTGAGGGAGCAATATTTACTAACGTTGATTAACAAAAGTACATTTAACACTGATGATGTATAGGGTTCCGTGGAACCTCCTACCCGCCGAAGGCGTAAATGCTAAAACATTGCTGCAGTTAAGAATCCTTGTTCTATATAAATATGGAGACTTTATACAAGCCGACGGCTTCCTGTCCACGTCGAGGTCACTACAGAAATGATGGCCCTCAGATAAATGATGGCCCTCAGGTAAATGATGGCCCTCAGATAAATGATGGCCCTCAGGTAAATGATGGCCCTCAGATAAATGATGGCCCTCAGGTAAATGATGGCCCTCAGATAAATGATGGCCCTCAGATAAATGATGGCCCTCAGGTAAATGATGGCCCTCAGATAAATGATGGCCCTCAGGTAAATGATGACCCTCAGATAAATGATGGCCCTCAGATAAATGATGGCCCTCAGATAAATGATGGCCCTCAGGTAAATGATGGCCCTCAGATAAATGATGGCCCTCAGATAAATGATGGCCCTCAGATAAATGATGGCCCTCAGATAAATGATGGCCCTCAGGTAAATGATGGCCCTCAGATAAATGATGGCCCTCAGATAAATGATGGCCCTCAGATAAATGATGGCCCTCAGATAAATGATGGCCCTCAGGATGGCCCTCAGATAAATGATGGCCCTCAGATGATGGCCCTCAGATAAATGATGGCCCTCAAAATGATGATGGCCCTCAGGTAAATGATGGCCCTCAGATAAATGATGGCCCTCAGATAAATGATGGCCCTCAGATAAATGATGGCCCTCAGATAAATGATGGCCCTCAGATAAATGATGGCCCTCAGATAAATGATGGCCCTCAGATAAATGATGGCCCTCAGATAAATGATGGCCCTCAGATAAATGATGGCCCTCAGATAAATGATGGCCCTCAGATAAATGATGGCCCTCAGATAAATGATGGCCCTCAGGTAAATGATGGCCCTCAGATAAATGATGGCCCTCAGATAAATGATGGCCCTCAGATAAATGATGGCCCTCAGATAAATGATGGCCCTCAGATAAATGATGGCCCTCAGATAAATGATGGCCCTCAGATAAATGATGGCCCTCAGATAAATGATGGCCCTCAGATAAAT